TTCTACAGACGCAAACATATAATCTGATCCTTCGGACGCAAACCTAACCTTCATATAACCAATACGATTCGCTCACGATGTTCGTGAAAGTTTCCAGCGATATATTTCTAATTCTGCTAAACGCGAAGAAAATATGTAATAATCAAATAGAATTTATTTCATCTATTAAATTACAATTATAACAAATTTTTTATTTGTTACATGCGAGCAGGATACAAGATTTTTGATAACCGAGTCATCAACGCCTCGAGACACGATTACAATTCATGACGCATTAAAATTCTGAATTAAACATTTCATTATTATCAATAATAATAATAATAACAACAATAATATATTGGATTTCCATTAATAATTTTATATAACCTGCAGCATAAAATTCTGAATATTGTGAATTATTAGAATAACGTAGCATATTTTTTGTACTTGTTGCAATGTTCATATCGAAAAGGAGTCGATATTAACATAAATAATTGTTTATTGTACTGTTTTTCGCGTTAAGTAATTAAAATATATACGTAATTCAATCGTTTTGAAGATTTTTAAGGTATTTACCGTTTTATAGAAAATGGTGGACCTACAAGGCAAGGACAAAAGAAATATATCCTTGCCGATGAAATTGCAATCGTACGAATATGAACAGGCAATTAACAAACCGACAATAATTAATACGCAAAGAACGTTCTACAATATTCGTATCGCAGATATTGATAATAGAATAAACAGGTTAAAAATAAAATTATTTTCTACTTGATTATTAATAACAATCCTTAGAACTATATGTTCTTCTTCGCTTTGTTTACATATAAATCCGTACATGTTGTAAATGTAGTATAAAGTTGATAGAAATTTAAGATTTTAATTAAACACGTAAAAAATGTTCAGGTTAAAAGATCGAAATGAGAAATTATTAAAAGAAATTGAAAATACAGATGAACTTGTAATTACACTGGACGCAGAAACAGCTGATGAAATTGCAACCTTAACTAAACAAGTCAACACGCAGAATAGTAGAATCGAAAATTTAAAAAATAATATTAATAAAATAGAAAAGGATCGCACGCAGGTGAAAGAAACTCATCGAGATAACATAAAACTGTTTAAAGAAAGATATACGAAGAAGAAGATAGAACTGGTTTATCAAATTAAAATATTAAGTGATAATGGACTCTTTATTTTTATCCAGCTTCTTCCAGCTACTTCTTATTGAACAATAAGCTTTATTTTAGGTGCAAAAATTAATAGTTTGGAAAATTTTAAAAAAGTTCAGAACATTTTGCAAGAAAAACTCGAAGGAAATAAGGAACGTATGATAAAGTATGAGAAAGAATTGAAAGAAACAACTGAAGGGATTAGGCGAAAATTTGAATTTGATAAAGAAATGTATTACATTATTTTATTCCAGGAGGAAAATTTGATTTCATTCATAAATAAATTTTTAAATGTTTTTTCTTTAGGCTCAAGATTGAACTGTATAATTACCTTCTTGATTTGGCAGCACATTTTCAAATTGAAACCAACAAATTTATGAGTTTCCCTAATAAAAGATTAATGCAGGAGAATATAATGTTACAGAAAAATTTATTGCAATTGTCTAAAGAAGTTTCGACTAAAAGAAATGTTGCAATTGATTGCCAGTAAAGTTTTATTTTCTGTTCCATTTTCTTTGACTCGCAACGATTTATTTAACAATTCATTTATATTACTAAAATTATATCTTGTAGAAATATATTTGAGAGCCATAGAAAAACTATTGTTGCGCAACGTTCAAGTACAAAACATAATATGGTAACTTTAAAAATATATAATCGGGTGCTGAAAGCTTTACAACGAAAATTTGATAAAATGAAAAAGTGTTTGTCTATTATTAATATCCCGGAGTCTACAGCGGAAGAAAGACAATGGCTAGCAGTTGAAAATGCCAGAATAGAGGAACAGAATGTGAAGTTCCTTTTATCGTCGATGCAAACTTTATTTCATAAAGAGAAGACGAAAATAGGTATTGCCAAGTATTTACAGAGGAAGGTAGAATGTAAAATAAAAGCAGTTATAGAAACACTTTATGATGTGAAGTACATTGTAATATGCTTGCTCAAGGTATTTTAAATAGAAACGTTGAAATTAAATTCAAGTTTAGCTTCGAATAACGTAAATTAATATTTGATAGTGTCCTGCAACTGAATTAAGTTATTCAAAATTGCTTCTAATTTTCCAAGATAAACTTTTTAAAGGGCAATTAAGACTTCAGTGTAATACTGTTAATTCGTAAGTAAAATTCTATAGTATATAGATAGCACCTATATTAAAAAAATAGTCTGAGAATTAAATGTACACGAATTAAGGGTTGAAAGCATTCCACGAGAAATAGATTGCCACGTAGAAGATTTGAAAGATATTCCAGAAGATATTAATTTTGAGATATCGAGTGCCACTGAAGAGACAGCATTGATGAGCAGAGCAATCTTAGATAAAGTAAATAATTTTATCCAGTTGTGTACACGTTTCGTATTCTATTTGAATTTTCAATTACACCGTATTTAGACAAGATCGAAAAGCACAGAAAAAGACGAAACTGACACGTCTATTGAAAATGATACATCCGATAAAAATGAATTAGATGAAATTTTTAAAGATCTTACGGTATTTGATGAGAACGAATATGAAGAAATTAATGACGCCGAATCCTTAGACGGCGAAGAATTACTTGACGTGAACGAGGAATAGAAAAACGTTACATTATACAGAAACTATATACAAAATTATTTTCTTTTTAAAGACTTTCACGCTTGGTATCTTCGATTATGCTTAGAAAGAAATACATATATTCATTTTATGTACACAACTTTGCAAAAACTACACATCTATTTCGTTATTTTATTTTGGGAATATCAATTTTGTGATCTGGTTTTATAAATCGTTTCACTTTAGCTTTATCTTGTTTCCTGAAAGAAAAAGAACATTTTTTAGTAAAATTTCTACTTTGTATTACCAATAATTTATATTACAGTCATACTTACAATTTAAGTACAGAAGGAGCTACAATATTCCTTTGTTGAAGGGATTTGAACCTGTCTTTCAATAAATTACCAGCTGGTGCAGAATTTCGTAAACTGCCAGTTAATTCTTCTGGTAATTTAAAATCATTATCCAAGGGCTCAAATTTGATTCTACTAAGAACTTTAGTACCTGTTGCTTTCTGGGCTTTCTTTTTCAATCTCTTTTCTCTTAAAACTTTCTGTTTCTGTTCAGTTTTAGTCATCTGTTTATCTAATTGTTTTAACTTGTAAATGTCTGCGATTTTCTTTTTCTCTATCTTCCCCTTTTGAATCCTGTGTGCCAACTCTTTCTGTTCCTTTTGTTTACGCCTTTGGACATGAGTTTTCTTCATATTTTTCACTGGAGGATTTACAGACTTTACTTCTGAATCATCATTATTATTATTATCATCATTATCATCTTCCACCAAAGCTTGATTGTCTAAATTCAGACCTTCCGACATTTCTTTCATAGTGTTCCTTTCCCTTTCTTCGTGTGAAACCTATGACAATAGAATTCAATTAATTCCAAAGCTAAATGTAATTTCATTACAAAGAAAATACCTTTTTAAACATATTTGTGGTAACTCTTTTCAGGTGTTCTTCTTCTTTTATCAACTGTAATTCTTTCTCCGCGATTTCTTGCAATAACTCCTGGTGATCTTCGTACGCAGGATTATAAGACATTCCTGGATGCGGCATTTCAATTGTTGGCAAAGCTGAAGGCTTTTTGTGCAACGAAGCGGGCAATCTCTTTTTTTTCATACCAAAATGCAACAGCGTGTGTCGCATAGTATCAGAGGACATCCACTTTTCATCGATCACACTGTTGACCTTGTCCTTCCATACGTCATCTTTGAATTCGCCCCTTTTCGGTTTAATTAGCCTTTTCTTCTCCGCGATGCTCTTATTTTTTAATTTTAATCTGTCCTTTAGTTTCAGAATACCCTGGGCCTTCTTAAGAGCTTCCTTCTTCAAAAGAATAGGATGTTTTCTCTCTTCCTTTGTCCTCACACGATTCCTCTTTGTTACTGGGTCCGGAACCGACGAATGAGGTTTCAAAACGTTGAAACATCGTGATTCCTTGGATTGCAATAATTCACGGCGCTGTTTCTTTGAAAGAACTTCCGGCTTAGTAGAAATAACAAACAAATCAGAATTTTCACGAACAGAAAACGATCCCAACCTCTCCTCCTGCCGGGAATCCTCCAAAAATTTATCAACGTCCTTTATATCCACATGTTTGCGCCACGACTTCTTCGTCTTCTTCGATACTTTCCGTTTCTTCGGTTTAATCTCGGTCATTTTGCTCTAAATAATACGATCCTACGATAAAACACGGAACCTCGTTAAAAGAAACGTGATTCCCAAGTTGAAATTCAGATTCTTATTTACCTGTCGCGATTGGCGCGTTTAAATTCTGAAACAACGCGATACATAGAGGGTTCACATTCATAATTCGAACAGCGCGAAACCTTAAGGCTAGTTTACGACACAGCCACAAGCATTCACATTGAGAACGACGCGTTCACGAATAAATTTATCATTCGAAAGAACCATACTATTTAAACAGAATTTCTGAACTGATCGTCGTACTCTGTTTCAATTAAAAACGATTTTCAATCTTCATTCGTCGATTCGCCGTCTCGGAAGCGTCAGCTTCATGCGGACGCGTCCTAACGTATTTTTTTCATAGAAAGTCGGCTTTCACGTGGCACACGTGTTGCGTATGCGTGTACACACGCGCGCATCACCTGTGGTGCGGTCAGAAGGCTGGCCACAACAGCGGAGAAAAAGTTGTACTTACCGATGGCTGTCATCGCTTTTTCTGACAGATGTTTTTACGTGCCCCGTTACGCGAATTCCACCTTATCCGAACCGATTTCAGTGATAATCCAACCTTCGTATCTACTGTGAACACAGCCCCGTCGCGATAAACGGGACCAAGGCGTGTAGCGTGCCCGTTTCAGTTCGAAGGGTGCGTCATCGGAATTCCAAGGATCACGATCACTCGGGAAGATCATCGGGGAGACTGAGAACGGTTCAAGAAAGAATAAAAGGACCGTGGGGACAGGAACACGTGAAAGAGGGAGAGACTGAAAGCGGAGGGTATGGCGAAGACGTATGATTATTTGTTCAAGTTGTTACTGATTGGTGATTCAGGGGTCGGCAAGACGTGCGTCCTCTTCAGGTTCTCCGAAGATGCTTTCAATACGACCTTCATCTCGACCATTGGTAGGTATTCCTTTTTTTCTCTCTCTTCTCTCTCTCTTTC